TGAGAGATAAAATGATTTTGTGCAATAAGTTCTTAATGTAATTGGTACTGTTGGATTCAGTACTACTTGGACTACTACCAAAACTACAATCAAGTACTTTTACTGTGTACTTTTGAGTAATCCTTTGTCAAACTCCACCCCTGAGTACAATAATGCATGTTTTCTGCCATCTTTGATGAGAGATAAAATGATTTTGTGCAATAAGTTCTTAATGTAATTGGTACTGTTGGATTCAGTACTACTTGGACTACTACCAAAAGTACAATCAAGTACTTTTACTGTGTACTTTTTGAGTAATCCTTTGTCAAACTCCACGCCTGAGTACAATAATGCATGTTTTCTGCCATCTTTGATGAGGGATCAAATTATTTTTAGCCATAAGTTCTTAATAAAATTGGTACTGTTGGACTCAGTACATGTTAGACTACTACCACAAATACAATCAAGTACTTTTACTGTGTACTATTTGAGTAATACTCTGTCAAACTCCCCTCCAGAGTACAATAATGCATGTTTTCTGCCCTCTTTGATGAGAGATAAAAAGGATTTTTTTAAATAAGTTCTTAGTGAAATTGATACTGTTGAACTCAGTACTACTTGGACTAGTAGCACAAGTACAATCAAGTACTTTTACTGTGTACTTTTTGAGTAATCCCCTGTCAAACTCCCCTCCAGAGTACAATAATGCATGTTTTCTGCCATCTTTGATGAGAGATAAAATGATTTTGTGCAATAAGTTCTTAATGTAATTGGTACTGTTGGATTCAGTACTACTTGGACTACTACCAAAACTACAATCAAGTATTTTTGCTGTGTACTTTTTGAGTAATCCTTTGTCAAACTCCACCCCTGAGTACAATAATGCATGTTTTCTGCCATCTTTGATGAGAGATAAAATGATTTTGTGCAATAAGTTCTTAATGAAATTGATACTGTTGGATCAGTACTACTTGGACTAGTAGCACAAGTACAATCAAGTACTTTTACTGTGTACTTTTGAGTAATCCTTTGTCAAACTCCACCCCTGAGTACAATAATGCATGTTTTCTGCCATCTTTGATGAGAGATAAAATGATTTTGTGCAATAAGTTCTTAATGTAATTGGTACTGTTGGATTCAGTACTACTTGGACTACTACCAAAACTACAATCAAGTATTTTTACTGGTACTTTTTGAGTAATCCTTTGTCAAACTCCACCCCTGAGTACAATAATGCATGTTTTCTGCCATCTTTGATGAGAGATAAAATGATTTTGTGCAATAAGTTCTTAATGAAATTGATACTGTTGGATCAGTACTACTTGGACTAGTAGCACAAGTACAATCAAGTACTTTTACTGTGTACTTTTTGAGTAATCCTTTGTCAAACTCCACCCCTGAGTACAATAATGCATGTTTTCTGCCATCTTTGATGAGAGATAAAATGATTTTGTGCAATAAGTTCTTAATGTAATTGGTACTGTTGGATTCAGTACTACTTGGACTACTACCAAAACTACAATCAAGTATTTTTACTGGTACTTTTTGAGTAATCCTTTGTCAAACTCCACCCGAGTACAATAATGCATGTTTTCTGCCATCTTTGATGAGAGATAAAATGATTTTGTGCAATAAGTTCTTAATGAAATTTATACTGTTGGATCAGTACTACTTGGACTAGTAGCACAAGTACAATCAAGTACTTTTACTGTGTACTTTTTGAGTAATCCTTTGTCAAACTCCACCCCTGAGTACAATAATGCATGTTTTCTGCCATCTTTGATGAGAGATAAAATGATTTTGTGCAATAAGTTCTTAATGTAATTGGTACTGTTGAATTCAGTACTACTTGGACTACTACCAAAACTACAATCAAGTATTTTTACTGTGTACTTTTTGAGTAATCCTTTGTCAAACTCCACCCCTGAGTACAATAATGCATGTTTTCTGCCATCTTTGATGAGAGATAAAATGATTTTGTGCAATAAGTTCTTAATGAAATTGATACTGTTGGATCAGTACTACTTGGACTAGTAGCACAAGTACAATCAAGTACTTTTACTGTGTACTTTTTGAGTAATCCTTTGTCAAACTCCACCCCTGAGTACAATAATGCATGTTTTCTGCCATCTTTGATGAGAGATAAAATGATTTTGTGCAATAAGTTCTTAATGTAATTGGTACTGTTGGATTCAGTACTACTTGGACTACTACCAAAACTACAATCAAGTATTTTTACTGGTACTTTTTGAGTAATCCTTTGTCAAACTCCACCCCTGAGTACAATAATGCATGTTTTCTGCCATCTTTGATGAGAGATAAAATGATTTTGTGCAATAAGTTCTTAATGAAATTGATACTGTTGGATCAGTACTACTTGGACTAGTAGCACAAGTACAATCAAGTACTTTTACTGTGTACTTTTTGAGTAATCCTTTGTCAAACTCCACCCCTGAGTACAATAATGCATGTTTTCTGCCATCTTTGATGAGAGATAAAATGATTTTGTGCAATAAGTTCTTAATGTAATTGGTACTGTTGAATTCAGTACTACTTGGACTACTACCAAAACTACAATCAAGTATTTTTACTGTGTACTTTTTGAGTAATCCTTTGTCAAACTCCACCCCTGAGTACAATAATGCATGTTTTCTGCCATCTTTGATGAGAGATAAAATAATTTTGTGCAATAAGTTCTTAATGAAATTGATACTGTTGGATCAGTACTACTTGGACTAGTAGCACAAGTACAATCAAGTACTTTTACTGTGTACTTTTTGAGTCTTGTAATGCGCTGTTGAGGAACCTGCGACCCAAGTTGTGTATATGATCAATACACCTTAGAAAATCTTGAAATCTTGAAAGGGATGTGCAAAAGAACCATTATACAGTTTTTAATTAACTATTAGTAGAGAATAACGAGTAATGAATATACTTTATAGAGATCTGCAGATAAATGTTTAGTCTTCTCGAGCACCACCTATCAAATATCTCTCCTGATTGTTGGCACTTGACAATCACCTTCCCTGAATTTTACTCAGGTGTAACTAAAGTCTGCTTTAAGGGTTGTTTATATTTCACATCATTAATCAGAATCTGCAAAGTAACTAAACTAAATGTAGTGGAGTAAAAATACCAGGTTATCCTCTGATTTGTAGTGGAGAATTACAAAGTAACAATGAGCTGTCATGTGGGTATATATTAATGCTGCACATTATGGATACAAGCGATTTTCACCCATTTAGTAATTTAGTAAATGTGTACACACCAATGTGTTTCCTATCGCCTAAACCTCCAGGGCTGTACACAGTTTAATACTGGCAACTTCTAATTTTTGGAAAAAACGTCTTTTAAAACTACAATTCCCAGTAGAGACGTGCCATAGAGAACATGTTGCGAAACACAATAGCCAGCATGTGTATTTCTCGGGGGGCGTTCGAGTCCAGTTTTGAATAGTCTGCCGTGGTTTCGTTCCATTTCAAAGAGCTTGACGCTCGGCGTAACCTTGGCGCACTGCCACTCCAACATCACAGGGTTTGTCAACGGGACTGTAGTCCCAAACGATAGCTGGGGATTATGGGTAGTGTAGTATCTTTGGCCATCTTAAATCTCGAAATGTCCCGTCTGTTTCTGGTGACTTTATTTACGGCTAAAATGCCCAAGATTATAGAATTAAACGAATAAATAAAAACAAGGATAATTGTGTGTTATTGTTGAGTAAATAACAGTGTGTTATTTAGAAAAGAATAACAAATTAGAAGGAAAAGATTAAAAAAATACAGATTTCAGTATTTTGAGGCTCTAAGCCCCATTTCTTTTCCTCACAGACGACAAAAAAAGTCCGACATTATACGATTTAAAATAAAAACAAATAAATAAAAAGATAAAAGACTGGCATGCAATTTACGTTAGAATAAATAGAATGGTTTTGAATAATAGATGATAGTAAAATCTACGTCACTTTACAGCCCCACCCACTTTTGGGGAAACCAACGCTGTCATTTGAACGGCGATCAAGCCTGAAGCCACAGAGCTCTTCTTTTACTGTCTTTTCTTCTTAGAGGAAGTACAGAAACACGTAACTCTAGATTTGTTTTAATGTTTGAGGTGCAATAAATGACACAGCAGCTTTTTGTCATGTTAAAACTATTATTTTCTGCCTCGCTCATAAGTGTAACAGCTGGCGAAATTACAGCCTCGCCTACTGATTTTAATGTAACCATATATCGAGCCCGATTGTCGATTTCAAAGGTGTGCTCTAAAATGATATTTATAAATGACTATTATCATTATTATAAGCAAGACAATAAATGGCAAAGATATGTAGAAAATAAACGTATTTAAGATACGTTCATAACGAACGTAACGTGGGAGAAAATACGTTTCTAGAAGATATGTAGAAAATAAACGTATTTTAAATAGGTTCATAACGAACGTAACGTGGGAGTAAATCAGTTTCTAGCTAAACGTAATTGAGAATGCAGTTTAGTTCTGTGGGAACGTAATTTTTAGGAGACATGGTTGCAAAAATTATACATGTGTTATACATCCAGAAATATCGAAATATCGTTTCCCACAGTGTGACATGTATACATAAAACAAAAAGGGCCTAGATAAACGTGGTATAAATTAAACAAAACAAAAAGGGCCTAGATAACCGGGGTATACCGTTTAAAATGTTAATATATTTAAAGTGTTCAAAGTGCAGTTTCAGTGCAAGTCAGTTGAAACGATCTTAAGTTGGCGTGACGTTGAAGTCGTGCGACCCTGCTGCTGTACTGGCTTGTAGTTCGTTTATAGCATAACGTTAGCATTTCGCTTTTGGCGACTAGATTTATGATTCAAAAATTATAAAAGTAGGGTAGACATGTGGAGATTATCCGGCTGAACAAAACGTGATCCCTCTCTTAAATGTGTGTCAACCACAGACCTTATTTCGAGCTATTTTCCAAAATCCTATGGAGAATTTGCGTTGGTTTTTCACGAAGGAACCGGAAGAAGTTTACTTCCGGGTTTTACCACGCGTCACTGCGGTTCTCTATACCTGTCAATTAGTGCTTCCATGGACCTCATCTGTAATGGAAGCTCGTCGAGGGTACGTATATTTGTATTTCAACAGAAAAGTAGTTATATACATAATTGTGTTCGAAAATAAAACACAAATGTTTATATGAATTGTTTATAGTTCTGATTTGACTTTATTTTAAGTCAAATCATAACTATTATATGTAGTTTAATCATTTGTATTTAGGTGGTCGCTCAGTTTTTCAAATGTACACCATTCAGCTCCTCCAGCACCCCTACTTCCCGCGGCACCCGACACACTGAACTCACATGTTGTTTAACAGATGACACGTTTGTAAACAAAAACCCTGCTGGGGGACTGGGTGATACATTATCTTTTAAAATTGTATGAACATGTCCAAATTTAAGAATCCCCATAGAAATTGTCAACGGACAAACTGTTTTCTCAAGATGTACATGTATTATTATTATTTTTAAATAAGAAAAAAACAGTGTTCTTGTTTATTACAGGTTATAAAGTTATACTTTTATAAAATGTATGGACAACATTTTAAAAAGTGCTGGGGACATGTACCCAGCATCCCCAGCTTAAATGACACCTATGAATATATCCCTCTGTCCTTTCAGCGCAAATCGACATAGCATAGGCAACAAATCAGAAGTCAGGGAATCAAGCTAATTAATTAAAAAAGTCTAAACTGAGTGAAAAGTCTAACTATAAATAATAGATTTTAACTTATGTCTTTTCAGAGTCTTGGTTTTCTCAACGTTTGGGAAGGCAAGTGTTTCTTATTTGTCACACAATTGTAATTGCATTAAAAAATGCAATGATTTCTCAAATGTCATATTTTTTTACAAAGAAATGACGGAACTTTGACATTTCAATTTCAGACAAGAAAAATAACAATAACAAAAGAAGTCCTTTTGGCTGTCACTGACAAGCTTCGAGCCACAACCAAAACAAAAGACAACGATGAAGGTGACGAGAAAGACACTTTCTGGGGCGAGGTGTGTCAGGAGCTTGGAATATCCGATTCCAAGACCAATAGGACACGGCTTCATCATGCCTATAATCATCATAAAAAGGTACATTTTTTATAAATATTGCACTAATATTGATTCTTATTTCTGCTTTGCTTTTATCTTCATCATCAGTCTGCCTGTGTGAACAACTTTAATTTGGATGTGCTATAATATTTTATATTATTTGATTAATAATTACATCTTTGGATTTCATTTGCTCCTTGTCATGTGCAGATGAGACACAAGACACAGATGGTGACCGCAGCACCTGCCAGCCCATCGACAGACAGTGACCACACGGCCTGCCCCATCGACAGTGACCACAGTTCCACTGACATTGACCGCACAGTGCCTGCTACCCCATCGTCGGTTAGACAGGCATTCACAGAGACGAGTGAACCAGAAGACGTTTCAGAGGTAAATATCGCATATTAGCACGTAGTTAGTGTTAGTGTGTTATGAAACATGCACACTACTGTGTGGAGTGAAATTATAGTTAGTCCCAAATAAACAATTTCAGATATATTGATTCACATCAGTAAAGAGTCATTCCAACTTTGGTCACTTTCGCTACTATGTTTTCATTGTGTTTTACAGTGTAATTCATCAGGGACATATGACTCCTCATCACACTCAAAAGATGGGCAACTCTTACACTCATTTAAATTGCCTTCAAATCCTTCATTTTTTTTTGTCACTAACAGTGACTGGAAGAAACTGAGGATGAGACAACATAAGCGTCAATTCAAATCTTTAAACTGGACTTCAATCATGGCCACTGGCATCCGGAGTGTCCACCCACACTGTTGCTTTGTCTTCAAATCTCACAGTGTGCGAACAGTTGGGTCAAAAGGAAAGGGTCACTTTTTTCATGTGTTGGCTACTGTCGATTTGATGACTGTCCTGTGGAGGTCGAAGTTGACATTGAGGATGAGTCATCCCTTAAGGCAGTTGTGACCTTCAGAGGTGAAAAAGCATGGCACAACTGTGAAGAACTCAAACATCGGCCTGTGCGTGCAGATGAAAGGGATGCACTTGCTAATGCCCTCACCAGCAAACTTCCCAGAAGTGTGTACCTTGATAAGCTCAATAAACTGGATGACACTGTGTTGGCTTCTGGAAACAGAGACCAGGTACCATCAACTGGTGTGATGAAAACATTGTCCTGGCAGGCAAGAAAGAAGCTGAGAAAACACAGCAATGAAATGATCAGCCTCAGAAAAATGATGGAGGAAGAGCTTGAGACTGAGGAAGCAGTCATTAAAAAATTATAGCACACCCCAAAGGAGTCATGCTATGGTCCAACAAAACAATTGACCTCTTCCATGACAGGTGCAGGGAATACATTGTATATGTGGATGCGACAGGGAGCATTGTTAAAAAGGCAAAAGGGAAAACCTCACCTTTTTATGTGTATGAGATGGTGGTCCGAAATCCGTTCAAAGGATCCTCCCCTGTCCCTGTGGCCACCTACATCACAAACGACCACACAATAGCCTCCATATCCTTTTTCCTTGGGTCATTTCTGACTGATGTAATAAGACTCCATGGAAGGGGAGCCAAAAAAAGACCTGTCATGCTGATCTGTGATGGCTCTACAGTCCTCATGGAGTCCATGGCCTATAATTTCTGTGGAGTCAGCCTCCAGGAACTTCTCTCCATGTACTACAGCATCGTATCTGGACAGGCAAAGCATGATTGTACTTTTAGTAGTAGTCCAAGTAGTACTAAATCCAACAGTACCAATTTCATTAAGAACTTATTGCACAAAATCCTTTTATCTCTCATCAAAGATGGCATAAAACATGCATTATTGTACTCAGGGGTGGAGTTTGACAAAGGATTACTCAAAAGTACACAGTAAAAGTACTTGATTGTACTTGTGCTACTAGTCCAAGTAGTACTGAATCCAACAGTATCAATTTCATTAAGAACTTATTGCACAAAATCCTTTTATCTCTCATCAAAGATGGCATAAAACATGCATTATTGTACTCAGGGGTGGAGTTTGACAAAGGATTACTCAAAAAGTACACAGTAAAAGTACTTGATTGTACTTGTGCTACTAGTCCAAGTAGTACTGAATCCAACAGTATCAATTTCATTAAGAACTTATTGCACAAAATCATTTTATCTCTCATCAAAGATGGCAGAAAAACATGCATTATTGTACTCTGGAGGGGAGTTTGACAGGGGATTACTCAAAAAGTACACAGTAAAGTACTTGATTGTACTTTTAGTAGTAGTCCAAGTAGTACTGAATCCAACAGTACCAATTTCATTAAGAACTTATTGCACAAAATCATTTCATCTCTCATCAAAGATGGCAGAAAACATGCATTATTGTACTCTGGAGGGGAGTTTGACAGGGGATTACTCAAAAAGTACACAGTAAAAGTACTTGATTGTACTTTTAGTAGTAGTCCAAGTAGTACTGAATCCAACAGTACCAATTTCATTAAGAACTTATTGCACAAAATCATTTCATCTCTCATCAAAGATGGCAGAAAACATGCATTATTGTACTCTGGAGGGGAGTTTGACAGGGGATTACTCAAAAAGTACACAGTAAAAGTACTTGATTGTACTTTTAGTAGTAGTCCAAGTAGTACTGAATCCAACAGTACCAATTTCATTAAGAACTTATTGCACAAAATCATTGTATCTCTCATCAAAGATGGCAGAAAACATGCATTATTGTACTCAGGGGTGGAGTTTGACAAAGGATTACTCAAAAAGTACACAGTAAAAGTACTTGATTGTACTTTTAGTAGTAGTCCAAGTAGTACTGAATCCAACAGTACCAATTTCATTAAGAACTTATTGCACAAAATCATTTCATCTCTCATCAAAGATGGCAGAAAACATGCATTATTGTACTCAGAGGTGGAGTTTGACAAAGGATTACTCAAAAAGTACACAGTAAAAATACTTGATTGTACTTGTGCTACTAGTCCAAGTAGTACTGAATCCAACAGTACCAATTTCACTAAGAACTTATTGCAAAAAATCATTTTATCTCTCATCAAAGATAGCAGAATACATTATTTTGTGTACTCAGGGCAGGAGTTTAAACAAGTATTACTTAAAAAGTACACAGTAAAAGTACTTGATTGTACTTTTAGACGTAGTCCAAGTAGTACTGAATCCAACAGTACCAATTTCATTAAGAACTTATTGCACAAAATCATTTTATCTCTCATCAAAGATAGCAGAAAACATGCATTATTGTACTCTGGAGGGGAGTTTGACAGGGGATTACTCAAAAAGTACACAGTAAAAGTACTTGATTGTACTTTTAGTAGTAGTCCAAGTAGTACTGAATCCAACAGTACCAATTTCATTAAGAACTTATTGCACAAAATCCTTTTATCTCTCATCAAAGATGGCAGAAAACATGCATTATTGTACTCAGGGTGGAGTTTGACAAAGGATTACTCAAAAAGTACACAGTAAAAATACTTGATTGTACTTGTGCTACTAATCCAAGTAGGACTGAATCCAACAGTACCAATTTTACTAAGAACTTATTGCAAAAAATCATTTTATCTCTCATCAAAGATAGCAGAATACATTCTTTTGTGTACTCAGGACAGGAGTTTAAACAAGTATTACTTAAAAAGTACACAGTAAAAGTGCTTGATTGTACTCGTGGTAGTAGTCCAAGTAGTACAGAATTCAGCATAACCGATTTTATTAAGAACTCATTGCAAAAAATGATTGTATCTCTCATCAAAGAGGGCAGAAAACATGCATTATTGTACTCTGGAGGGGAGTTTGACAGAGTATTACTCAAAAAGTACACAGTAAAAGTACTTGATTGTGTTTGTGGTAGTAGTCTAACATGTACTGAGTCCAACAGTACCAATTTTATTAAGAACTTATGGCTAAAAATAATTTGATCCCTCATCAAATATCATTGATTGATTGATCAAATATAGCATAAGCACTTTTACTATCGTCAGCGCCACTTCTCGGCGATTACCGTAAAGACGCTATTAATCGCGCACTCAAAAATGAAGCGCTGCTCATTTGACCAAGCAAATGCGAGAGACGGCTGAGTTGACCGCAGTTCTATAGTGGCAGAGAGGAAACCCTTGATGCCATTACATCAAGTCGAAAAACTCCGTAAGGAAGAGACACACACCGTTTGGATCCCCGGAAAAGAGGGACACACCGGAGCGGACAGACTGGGCCGGCCGTGAGTAAGCCAATGGAATAAATCCGTGTACGCATTGAATGGAATGTCGGACGTGTTAATGTCTAAAAGGAAATCATAACGGCGATGCACACATTGGAGGAGGGTTGTAAATACCTGTGGATCGTCTGTGAAAAAAAGAATGTGATTGAATTTGTTTGTGCAACAAAGGAAGCCAGTAGGCGTGCTCTGTGAGACTCATTAAAGGAGCGCAACGTCTTTTACGCACGGCCTAAAAACAAACAAATAAATAATGTCGGACGATCCCAGGACTTCTGCTGACGCAGAAACATTGTTAAAATCACTCAAAGCCTCCCGCAGTGGGAAATTAGGAGCATGCACAAGGGAAATGAACGAAATGAAGGCCTTGCTTGTGGAGGATGGGAATGTGGAACATGTGAATGAAGCTTTGGAAATGTTCAAACAAAATATAAATGACTTGTGCAGTGTTCATGGATCCGTACAGCAGCTTTTATCAGAGGAAGAGAGAGAGGAGGATCATGTGGACTGGTTTGAGCCAAAAATGACACATTTTGAATATTGTATGAAAGATGTGGATGTGTGGAAAAGAGAAAAAATTGCACAATCAAAGATTCATCCCCATGACAGCATCTCTAATGTTTCACACAAGTCAAGGAGCTCAAAAACCTCTTCAGTCTCCTCAGCATGTAGAAGAGCGTCTGCTGAAAAGGCTGCCCTGCTAGCCAGAGCAGCTGGGTTAAAGGACAAACATGCACTGCTATTACAACAAGCAACACTAAAAGCTGAACTGGAACAAATGGAACTGGACACAGAAATTGCAGCATCTGCTGCTAAAATAAAGGTTCTGCAAAGCATTGACGTGGAGGAAAAAATGGAGGATCAAATTCAAGATGGAATGAATGCTTATCTGGAGGAAAGCAAAGAAAAAAGCACAGACACTTTGGATCCTGAAATCTCAGCCATGGAGTTCATGCCATTGGGTGCAGTGCCTAAAACACCACTTCAGAGGACTGTCATTAATCTTCGCCGCCCTCAGCAACCCACAACACAGTTTAGACCTTTCAAAATGCCCACAATGCATAGCTCCACCCAACGCAATGAAACCCATGATAACCTTGACACTGTTATACAGAGACAGAGAGATATTGCTGACCTCATCATTATGCAGCAGAAACTTACCTTGTTACCAACAATGGAGATAAAAGTGTTTGATGGTGATCCACTTGAATATCAGTCCTTTATGCGAGCTTTCGAACACCTTATTGAGGATAAAACAGCTAGCAGTCATGACAGGCTCTACTTTCTCGACCAGTACACTTCCGGCCAGCCCAAAGATCTCGTTCGCAGCTGCCTGCATATGGATACCCAAAGAGGTTACACAGAAGCCAAACGGCTATTAAAGGAGCACTTTGGGGACGAGATCAAAGTAACCAGCGCTTATTTGGAAAAGGCAATGAACTGGACATCAATTAGACCGGATGATGGCAAAGCGCTTCAGGCATATGCAATGTATTTAAGAGGATGCTGCAATGCTATGCAAGATTTAAAGTACATGGATGAACGAGATATTCCTTCCAATCTAAGATCAATAATATCTAAACTCCCTTACAAACTGCGAGAAAAATGGCGGACAGTGGCTTATGATATATTACAGAGAACAAAGAAGAGAGCTAGATTTCGTGACCTTGTGGAGCTTATGGAAAAACAAGCTAACATACTCCTGGACCCATTGTTTGGGGATATACATGATCGCCACATCTCTAGCCCAAGGATGGCCACTAGGAGCCAACCCATGAGCCACAGAACACCTAAAAGTAGAGGCAGCAGCTTCGCCACCATCATCGCAGCAGCATGTGATCAGGAGAGCAGCGCCGCACCATCAAACACAGAGCAGCGTGGCACCTTCAAACAGCCACAAGGGGGCAGTCCTGCCTCTTTTTGCTACTTTTGTAAAGGCAAGCACGTGCTGACTGATTGCCATCAGTTCAAAAATCATCCACACAAGGAAAAGGTTGACTTTTTGAAGATAAATGGTTATTGTTTTGGATGTTTGATGAGGGGTCATATGAGCAGGAACTGTAGGAAAAGGCTGAC